TCATAAAACATGTGACATTTTTAATAATGAAAAATAATGTGTCTGCTCTTCTATCAAGTTTATAAATAACATCTGGACATTGAAATTTGAGTTTATTATAGGCTAACATTGTATCTGATTGTTTTTAATTTTAACAGTTTTGTTTTACATTTTTTTCAGAAGCAGCTTAGACTTTTGTTTTACCAATTCCTATGAAGATCCGAACTTTTTATTTTTTGGGGGGTTGACTGCTCCCCTTCAAGAAAGCAATTTTATATAACATTTTCTATTCGGGTTTACTGCTGCCCTTTAAGAAAGCAATTTTACAAATAAATATATATATATCAAATATTTATAGATAAAAATTAAGTCTCGTAATAGACACTATTTTATAAAAAGTAGAAAAGAAGAGGACGAGGGTGTTAATATATACATTTATGTAATACCAAGGGAGATAACTTCATTTAGAGTGGAACGATATTAACTAAAAAGACAAAAAAAAGGGAGACTACCGTACCGTTTAAATTTTAAGAATTGGCAACGAAAATAGGGGAGGTAACTGCCTTTTAATTTAAGAGGTGATTAACAGGAAAGAAAATTGAAGGAAGTTTATTGCAATCATTAAAATACGCCTTTTTAATTCAGAGTTTTCTAAATAATTGATAAATATTTTGACGGTGATAAAAATGGCACGAAAAAAGAGATTTAATCCAATAGAAAACTTGAGGAGAAAGAAAGACGAAGAGAATGAAGAAAATATATCTAAAATTTCAGATGACAACTACAATTCCGTAAAAGCTGAGATATAGTTATCCGTTCTCCAGGTAAAGAATTTAATGATACACCCACTTTGCCAAGTTAAGTTGAAACTTTTGTAGATCCAATTGTGTCCAATATTGAAGGTGAAATTCTAGCATGTGAGGTTAACATGAAAGATCCAATTTTAGCTATTTACCATCAAGGAAATCCATTATTCGGTAGATTTAGTGGTAGCCAGTGTGTTGCTATGAGCGCCATGTCTATGTTGTTCACTAAAGTAAAACCTTTAGAAAGTTGGAATAGGGCTGACTTGGACAGTATAATAATAGCCGGTAATGAATTATATGCTTCTCTTCAGTCGATGTCATCAATTAACAAGAGATACATATTGGTATCGGAACTTCCAGATAAAATAGAAAAATTTGGTAAAATATTTAGTCTCAATATCAGCGATGATTCATATGTCGGATTATTATGGTCCAGAAATGCAAGTGGAATAGATGACATAGTTATGAACTTATTTGAAGCCCTGCAAACTAGTCTGTTAATGCACACATCATGCTTTGTTACATTTGGCGGAAATACATTTGCAATAATGAAACGCTTGAATACATTTTCTATTTTTGATTCACACAGCAGAAGTAATAGAGGAATGTTATCTGAGAATGGTAGATGCATACTTTTACATGTTAGAGATATTACAGAAGTCTATCAACTCTGTAACGAACTAACTTTTTCTCTGAACCTAGGTCCACAAACTCAATTTAAAATAACAGGTATTAACATTGATATTTTAACCGATTTATGTACACCAGATATACCCCAGTCTATGGATCGAGAATGTGTAATTATTTCAGATGATGACAACATATTTCTCTCTTGTAATGATCATTTTAAGGATATTTCAATAGATTTAACAGAACCTGATGACGATATTATTATCTCTCAAGTGGAATCGAATTCATTTAATTTTAATCCAATGTCATTAGCTAGTAAAAGAAATATTTGTTCACAGCTTGGTCTGCCAGCTAACTCAAATGAAAACATTGTAAGTACGTGTCTATTAACGAAACCCTCAGAAATAAAATCAATTATTGGAGATGGCAATTGTTTTTTTAGATCTATATCGTATGCTTTAACAGGCAAAGAAAATCACCATAGAAAGATTAGACTTGCCGTTGTAAAGCACCTTAAGACCCATGCCGCTTTATTTAAACAGTATCTAAGACCTGGTTACACCTCCGTACTTGACTATATTACTAGATCACGCATGAACTACGTTAAAAGTTGGGCCTCTGAAATAGAAATATTTGCTGCAGCAGATTTACTTGAAACTGACATATATACCTACAGTAATAATAACTGGTTAAAATTTTCTAGATTACAACACAAGGGGGATAATTCAATGATTGGAGCAATATATATTAATCATCTGAATGGAATACATTATGAAGTCGTAATGGATGTTATGAAAGATTTTCGTTTAGTCCAACAACAAGCTTATGAAGTAAGTAATGATTGTACTGCTTCAGATTACGAACAAACACCAAACGTGCAATACACTGATACCGACAATGAAACAGAAAACTTGTTCAAACAGAATTCATTCTCTCAGGGTAAAAGCAGGAAGAGAAAAAAGATGTACAAAATTCAGAAGAAATGTAGTTAGTAAAGCAAAGACAATAAAAGAATCTAATAATTTAAATGTGGAGCAAATGTCAGAAATAAGTAATGATTATGATACTCAGTCACTTCACGAACCCGTTGATCAAACTCCATCACATTTAGCTCAAAACAGAAAAAGAGGAAACAATTGGAGATCTCACAAATTAGCAAAGAAATCTAAAAATATGAATGAAAAACTAACGTCTGATCATGATACCTCTTGTAATCGTTATAGAAATGATAGAAGTTTTAAACGAAATGTTAAATCAATCTTGAAAGTTAAATCAAAAGTACGATATCATGGGGATGCAAAGTACATGAATAAAATCAAGGAGCGAAGTAAAGATCAATATAATAATAATCCAGTTTTTACTTAATATGTCAAAGAATGCATTGTATTTAAATATAGGACCAATGAAAATCATAGAAATCTTATTAAGCGACTTATCAATGATAAATATAGGAATAACTTAAGACACAAAAATAAAGTTAAACAGCAAAGCTCTGATAAATATAGAACTAATTTAAAGTATAAAAATATAGTAAAACAGCTTAGCACTGATAAATATAGAAGGGATAAAAATCATAAGAACAAAATAATTCACCAGAATAAACAAAGAAAATTACAAAAACAGATAGAGATGTCGGACATTGAAAAAGTTCACGAAGAGTTTAAAAAAGAGTATATCTGCTGTGTATGTCACAGATTATTGTTTAAAAACCAAGTAAATTCTTGCAATGAGAAATTATATAATAAAGATGATAAAGTCAAGAGAGTAGCAACCCAGTGTATCACTAAAACATATTTACACGAATGTTCTATTGATTGTATAGATAACTGTGACTATCCCGAAGGTTATAAATCGTTGTGGATTTGTTTTACTTGCGATTCTAAAATCAAATCTGGTAAAATACCTGCAGAAAGTATTACAAACAATTTAGATCCTGGCCATATACCACAACAGCTCGCATGTTTAAATAGTCTCGAGACACATTTAGTCGCTTTAAATATACCTTTCATGAAAATGGTTAATTTAGCAAAGACACAACAGTTTAAAGTCAGTGGAGAAACTGTGTGTATTCCTAACAATATTAATGAAGTGACCAAGGTTTTACCCAGATCTGAAGGTTCTGATCAGCTCATTAGACTGAAACTTAAAAAAAGAATTACACATAAAAGCTATTATCAATATGAATTTGTTAACAAGTCGAAATTAAGAGATGCTTTACTTTTTTTGAAGGAAAATAACCAATATTATACAGAGGTTGAATTTGACAAAAACTGGAATTTTGAAACAGAAACACAAGGTAAGGGAGAAAACTCCAATTTGGAACAGTTAAAACCTGACACTCTAAACAACTCTGATGCAATAGAAAATGAAACTGATAGTTTACCAGACATAGATGTCCCACTTGATGAGTTACATAGACTGTTGACACCTGCTGCTTTAAGTAATTCTAAGACAAGAGAAGACGACACTGATAGCTTACCAGACATAGATATGCCACTTGATGAGTTACATGGACCATTGTTAAGTACGTGTTTGCAACCTGTTGATCTTGCACAAGAGATTTTAGACAACACTGATAGTATATTTTCTATTTCTCCAACAGAAAATAAAAATCCTGTAAAGATTTTAACAGACAAAACGAATGAAGCTATGTGTTTTCCGACCCTATTTCCAACTGGACAAAATACATTTGCTGATAATCGAGATGAACGAATCACTCTAGGTCGTTATTTACACTGTCGCCTTATGAACGTTGATAACCGATTTGCTAAAAATACAGATTACATCTTTTATGCTCAGTATTTATATGAACTCAGTCAAGTTGTCTCAAGTGTCTCCATCGCTTTACGCAAAACAAAATCAGGTGGTAATAGAATAACAGCCGATATGCTTTGAAAAATATTCTGAAATGCGATAATGGCTATCGATTTTTGAAATCAGTACGAGGTTCACCCAGCTATTGGAAGACTACACAATCAGATCTGTTTGCTATGCTTAGACAACTTGGAATCTGTACTTTTTTTATTAGTTTTTCTTCTGTCGAGCTCAGATGGACGTCCTTCATTGAGGTAATTCTTAGACAACAAGGTGATAATAGAAAAGCTAGTGATTTGAATTGGGCCGAGAAACAAGAAATACTTAGAAGCAATCCGATAACTATAGCTAGAATGTTCGATCACAGGTTTCATTATTTCTTAAAGAATTTTATCATGTCAAAAGCTGAGCCTATTGGTAAAGTAAAAGATTATTTCTATCGCATCGAATATCAAATGCGCGGAAGTTGTCACGTACACATGTTATTATGGATAGAAGATGCACCCGTACTTGGTAGAGACCCTGACAGTAAAGTTGTTGAATTTGTAAATAAATACATAACATGTAAAATGCCAAACATTTCAGATGATCCAGAACTACACGAAATTGTATCCAGTGTTCAAATGCACAGTAAAAAGCATTCAAAGTCTTGTAAAAAGAAAAATACGGTATGTTGATTTAATTTCCCTAGACCACCCTCTGACGAAACCTTTGTTTGTAGAACTGTAGACATGAACAAAAGTGATAATCATCAACCCAGAACGGACGAAATTAGCAATGATCAGGCTAAGACAATCCTAGAATGCATAATGAAGGCCATTTCAGACCCCGATAAGAATTATGATTCTATTGATGATTTATATACTGATCTTGATATCACTCAAGAGTTATTTGTAAAAGCATGCGAAAAGCTAACAAAGAAAAACAATCTAGTTCTTAAAAGAGACCACAAAGATGTATGGATAAATCAGTATAATCCTGACTTACTAAGGGCATGGAACGCTAATTTGGACAAACAATATGTATTTGATGCCTACAGTTGTATTGTATACATTGTGTCATATATATCAAAGTCTGAAAGAGAAATTGGTTTATTACTAGGCGATGCTCACAAAGAAGCTGTTGAAGGTAATTTGGATGCTAAAAGTGGTCTAAAAAAGATTTCAAGTACATATTTACATAGTAGAGAGGTTTCGGCACAAGAGGCAGCATATCGTGTGTGTAATCTACGTCTTGAAGAAACATCCAGAAAAGTAGTATTTATACCGACAGGTGAGAATAATATCCGACTGACACTACCTTTATCTATTCTTAAAAGTCGGGCAAATGAAGGAACGCTAACGGATAATAACATGTATCAAACTAGCATTGTTGATAGATATAGGGCACGACCAGATGGCATTCAATTCGATTATATGTGTATAGCTCAGTTCTGTTCTGAATATAGAGTCATGGCTAAGAGCGAGAAAATTGATGTTGATCGTGAAAATAACCCTGCATATAAACTTAAAGGTGACCTTGGTTATATCATAAAACGTACAAGAACTAGTCCTGCTGTAATACGTTACGCTAGATTTTCAATTACAAAAAATCCAGAGCTTTTTTATCTCAGTAGTCTACAACTTTTTCTGCCTTATCGACAAACCGAACAGCTTAAGCCCCCTCCTTTTGAAACGTACGAAGATTTCTATAAATTTGGATCTGTGAGATATTATAATGATGTTGAACTAGTGAGAGAAATTGTTAATAACAACCGTGAACAATATGAGAAAGATGCAGTTAATATTGAAATGGCACAAGAAATCTTTGAGAAATTCGGACCTTTAGACGATGCATGGGCAAATATTTTTGTCGAAACAGAAGTTGATCGTTTAGAATGTATAGAATTACAAGAAAATGATACAATTAATGAAGATGACGACGACCCTGTCGAGATACCAGATTTATTAGGCAATAGAAAATCAGCTAAGAAAGATAGGCATAAAGAAAAATCTGACACAGTTATCTCCCATTCACAAGCCATACCTTTATTAAGATCATTAAATAAGTTACAATCACAAGTATTTTACAAAGTACGACAATTCTGTCTAGATAAAATTCATAAAAAAAACCAGAACAATTCATGCTATTTTTAACAGGTGGTGCCGGTAGTGGAAAGAGTCATATCATCAAATGTATGTATTATGAAGCATCAAGATTATTAGCCAGAATTAGTGACAGTCCCGATGACACAACAGTTGCTATAATCTGTCCGACTGGCGTATCGGCGTTTAACATCTCATCAAGTACATCTACGATCCATTCGCTTTTTAGTATACCGATTCATATAAAGTTGCCTTACATAGGATTGTCCTCAGATAAAGTTAACACACTTAGATCTAAATTAGGTAATCTAAAAATTCTGATAATTGATGAAATATCCATGGTTGATCATAAACTATTATGTTACATACACGGTAGATTAAGACAAATCAAACAAACACCTGATCATGTACCATTTGGTATTGTTTCTATTATTGCAGTTGGAGATTTTTACCAGTTACCTCCCGTGAAAGGCAGAGCTCTGTACAATGATAATGAAATGGTTAATCTGTGGCAAGATAATTTTAAACTTGTTCAACTGACGGAAATAATGAGACAGAGGGATGATTTGACATTTGCACAAGCACTAAATAGAATACGCACAAAAAAGAATTCTGATGAAATGTCCGTAGATGATGTTAATTTGTTCAGTAGTAGGGTTACAGGTGAAGAATCTGATGCAGTGCATATAGTTTCTACAAATAAGCAGGTAAATGAAATTAATTTAAAATTCTTACACAGTAAATGTCCAGATACCATAACCATTGCTGCAAACGATTATTCAAAAGATGCTAGAACAGGTAAAATGAAGAAATTGGAGAAATATCTGACTCGTAACGTAGATTCTAGTTTACCTGACGTATTAGTAATTGGTATTGATGCAAGAGTTATGTTAATTAAGAATTTGAATGTTAGTGATGGTCTTACTAATGGTTGTTTTGGTAAAGTAACTTATATCACAATGGATAATGATAAACCTAAAATAATATACGTTAAGTTTGATGACGGAAGAGTCGGGACTATTTTACGTAGAGAAAATAAAAGATCAAATGATGATATACCAGAAGGCAGTACTCCTATTGAGATACAAGAAGAAAAAGTCAATTATCGTGGCGACATAAGGAGACAATTTCCACTTAAACTTAGCTATAGTACAACGGTGCATAAAGTACAAGGTTTGATTCTCAATTCTGCAGTTGTATCACTAAAGAAAATATTTTCACCAGGTCAGGCGTACTTGGCGTTGAGCCGAGTCACATCTTTAGAGGGTTTAATTATTAGAGATTTTGATGAATCAATCAATAAGATGATATTATATTTAGAACCTCAGGTAGAAATACTGAAATATTGCTGTTTAATGTAGAGGGATTAATGCAACATTATGAAGACGTGAAGAATGATTATAGGTTTACCCAGGCTGACTTTATCTGTTTAACAGAAAAGTGGATCTCCCTAATAGCAGAATGTAGAAACTTTAAATTTGATGGCTATACATTATTTAATCAACCTAGACATACATGTTATGATAACTCTAATATATATGACACATTAAAATCAATGAAAAACGGTGGCGTTGGTATTTATTATAGCAATATGAGACATTGTAATATACATAGATTAGGTATCTTTAATATAGAACATGTTGTATTTAATATACCTGATATTAATCTTACTGTAGTTGTTATTTACCGACCTAGCTGTTATAAAGCTGATTTATTCATTCCTAATTTACAGATTTTATTGACAGAGTTACACAACAATGGTGGTGATATGATTGTAATGGGTGACTTCAATCAGAACCTTTTGGATGGAAATTCATCCATTGCAAGATGTATGTCAGAGAATGGTTTTACGCAACTTGTAAATGTTGTAACAACAACAGGTGGGACTCTATTAGATTTAGTTTTTGTTAAATATTTAGATCAGAGTAAAGTTCACTTAAACCTTGTTTCAACATATTTCAGCTACCACGAATGTATCAGAATAGGATTAGATGACTGATGATAAAATGATTCAAACAAATAATAGCCTACACGATGTGTGCCCATTACCTCCCTTTAATAGTTCTCAAACTGGTCTGTAAATGAAATGAAATGGGGTTTAACGTCCTACTAACTGTTCCCAAAGATGGTATTGTATCAACCTATTTCAGTTTACAATGTATGTATCAGAATAGGATTAGATCGTTGATAATGAATTGACTTGAAAATACTTCAGAATAGCGAGTCATCACATATTCTGTCAATTGTCTCCCTTGGGTCATATCGTCTTGAATTTTATATGAAATTTATTACAGAATTTGCTAAAAAGAGATTTTTTTATTTACTGAAATTGTAAAGATATGTATTGTATGTTTGCTAAATTAATTAAAGAAATTGTACATATATGTAGGCTATTATATGCTATACTATAATATGTCTAAATTTATTACAGAAATTGTGAAGATATTCATTGAAACAAGTGAACAATTACCTCCCTTTGATAGTATCATCTTGAACTCGGAAACAGACATCAAGTTCATCTTTTACAGAATTGTTCTTTACAAAAATTGTATAAAGATCAACTATATTTATTACAGAAATTGTAATGGTATGTAATATATTCCATACTGTAATTTTATTATATTTATTAAAAAAATTGTAATGGTATGTAATTAATATATTTTATACTGTAATTTTATTACAGAAATTGTACTACACTTTTTTTTAACAGAAAATGTGAAAGTATATTATATACCGCCAACTAAACAGATATAACAGATATAATTTGGATTAATTATAGGGAGATGTTTGGAGTTTGTTTTATTTATGCCTCATAAATTGTTCTATAGTTCATTATTTTATTTTTTATTTATTAAAACATTTGTAGATATCTTATAAATTATATCTCTGGTTTGTTTTTTGATGGTTTTAAAAGTATGTTGAACTCTAGTATCAAATATATTAAGATTTATCGCAGAATGTAGAAACTACCACGAATGTATCAGAATAGGTTAGATGACTGATGATAAAATGATTCAAACAAATATTACCCTACACAATGTGTGCCAATTACCTCCCTTTAATAGATTTCAAAGATGGTCTTATGTATTGATATATAAGTGTAAATTGTTTTTTCAAATATATGTTGTACGTGTCTAATCTCGTGGGTTTTCTCCGGGTCCTCCGGTTTCCTCCCACTGCTAAAGACTCCTACGCGCAAGCGAATTATGTAAATAAAATTAAACAATGTGTTAGTCTCGAAATGACCTAGTTTGTGTCGAGTGGACGTTAAACCCATTTCTCTCTCTCTCTCTCTCTTTCAGATATATGTTTATTATATCAAATATGTTTAAATAACTAGTTTACATAGTTTTCAATTTCGTTTGCTTTAATAAGTTGTCAGATACAAAATACAAATGTAGTAATTTTTAAATATAATGCCCGCTTTGAGGCATTATATTTAAAAATTACTCCATTTGCTTAGTTATCAATATCGTTAGCTTTCATGATCTGTCATCTACAAGATACAGATTATGGGTAAAGTGATATAAACTGATATAACCTGATATCTTCAAACATTTGTCTGAAGATATCAGGCTATATTTTCAAATATCAGATTTCTCTGATATTAAATAGATTGGAACGGTATGCCACATTTCTATTTAATTTAAAAATGGAGGATTGAAGCTTAGCTTTGAACCACCAACTACGTTTGTTGCAATTATTGCACATGTGTTGTCTGTCTTTAATGACTAACTTGATGAAATTGGCAGATGATGTCCCTTTTCACGCCTGATGCATATTACTTTCAGTAAATATATGTAAAAGCATCTAGTTGAATAATGAAGATATACTGGAGATATTCAGAGATATTCACTTGTTTTGACCATTGATGGTTATATAACATATAAAAATACCATTAATAATGTTCCATCTATTTGAAATATTTAATTGTTGTATGTATTGATATAAGTGTACATTTTTTATTCAAATATAAGTTTTTTTCATCAAATATGTTTAAATATTTTGTTAAATAACTGGTTTACTTATAGTTATCAATATGCTTATGTTGTCATCTACAAGAAATATTTAAAGTGTAAACTGATGCAATCTGATATCTTTAGACAAAGGTAATATTTAAATACAATACCCCTATATATATATACGATGCCTGCTTTTACTACTTCCAGATGTTTATGCCATAACTTAATCTAAGTTTTTAATTGTATTATTTAATATAAGTGTAAATGTTATTTAAATACATATTTATTATATCAAATATGTTTAAATATTTTGTTAAACATACCTATTGGAGGTCTATCCTTATGCGTGAAGTGTTATATGAACTATAAATTAGACATTTATTTACATAAAAGACCTCTTGATGACATCTTATGTGTCGGTTTTTCATTGGATTTAAATCCGTTCTGCTGCTCCAGTCATTCATGATTAAATCCAAAATGGATAACCAAGACTATTTTTTTTTTTATCGTACCGACTTAAGTAATCGAGATTAGGTCTAAAAATTCAATTGCTTATATCACGGTAGAGCAATATGACTGAAATTTTTAGCATATCCCCTTTACATTATCTTGTTTTTAACTATTATAGTTAGAAGTGCTAACTCATAATCTAATTTTTCATAATGTATTTTTAAATAACTGGTGTACTTACAGTTATCAAGGGGGATCACATGGCTAAGTGGGTAGGACGCTGTAAATATTTGTACTATGTGAAGCTAGAAAACCTTCAAAAATATGTTTTTAAACCTTATTTAATAACTCTTTCACATGTATCTGTATAAATATGTTTAGTATATTTTTGTTTATTCATGTATGACATATCTGTATATATTTAAATATCTGAATAAATATATTTACAAGAAAAAAAAAAAAAAAAAGGACGCTGGCTCGCTAGCCTGGAGGTCGGGTGTTCGAACCCTGCATTGACTGAGAAAGTTCATCCACATTTTCCGGTGTGGTTTCCCCTTGTCAGTGATTCCGGACAGAGGACCTGACAAGGACAGCTGTCTAGTCGTTCGGATGGGACATAAAACCGAGGTCCCGTGTACACATTGGTGTGCACGTAAAAGATCCCTTGGCAGTTGGAATTCGATATAAGAGTAGGCCCTAGCGCCGCTGCCCGGGCAAAATCTCCCTCATAGCACACTGTATGACGTATGCTGTCTTCATTAGCCCAGTTAAGGAGCAGAACAGTAGGACGTTAAACCCCATTTCATTTCATATACTGCTTTGCTTTAATACGTTGTCAGCTACTGGTGTAATCTTAGTTGACAATGGCCTCTGTTTAATTGTCCTTTTTTTAGATGCATGTATCTTGAAATGATTTATATTATATTATCAAAATAGTCTACAAGAATTATAGCAATATTTTAATACAATGGCTAGATGTTATCTCAAAAGTTTGTCAATTATCCGAGTTAACAATGGCTTCAATTACTTTTTAATAAATCTTGTCAATTATCATCAAGTTCGTAATTAACAGCAATTCATGATCTGTGGCAACAAGAGATATTCCCGAATTTATTAAGTTCTTACCAATATTATTATTTATCTTTGATTTATAAAAATCTTTTTTTATGTTTATCATGTGTCATTGGTTTAAAGATATGTATTGTGATCAATTGTAACCCGAAATTCAGCCATCATGATATTATGTAATTATGTAATAAAACTAACACATTTAATTTGATTTGTTCTTTAATAATGACACCAAGAAACTAATTAAATGAGGACAAGTAATTTGCTTCAAGCATATTAAGAATTACAGAATATTAGCTTCATTGAATAGGGCATAAGTTGTCTATGGTTCTTATTTGTATCGACTGTGTAGTCCATGCGTATATATGATGGACCAGCGCCAACATTACTATTCGACTTGCAACAACAGCTATAACCCAGACACGTTCAACGTGGTACTTGATATTAAATAATATTAGTATTTATTGTTGGTAATGGGGCATTAATCGTTCCTGATAATGGGACATCAGAGGTAATGAACAGGGTCATACGCCATACAGTAAGTTATATGGATTCCAATTGCCTAGAGTTCTTTTACCTTTACGGCAATGTGTTCACGGGATGTCGTTTTGCCGTCCCATCCGAATAACTATACATTGTCGCATGCCAGTCCCTATGTTCTCCACCACTGACAAGGATGAACTACATCGGCCCACGCAGGGATCTAACACCAGACCACCAGGGGGGTTGCATGGCCAAATGGTTAGCATGTGCACGCTGTATCATACATAAGGCCTGTCATTGAGTCAACTGGCGTGGTTTCGAATCCCCGATTATACGTGACAAGGAGTAGGGTCGCCTGTCCAATTTCGTGGGGTTTCTCTGGATCCTCCGGTTTCCATCCATTGCTAAAGTCTAAAGATCCCTTTGCGCAAGCGAATTATTGAAATAAAATTAAACCATATGTTAGTCCCGAAATGACCTAGTTTGTGTCGAGTGGACATTAAATCCCATTGCTCTCTCTATATCACTTCTTACAGTTTCTGAGATCTACGCAAAATGGGAAAAAGAAATGGTCCACACCGAAGTTTTGGTTAACGTCTATTCATTCTGTTCGGAATGGACCATCGCCCGTACAGCGGCGCTAGTCTACTCTTATATACAATTCCAACTGCCAAGGTTTCTTTTACAGTCACACCAATGTGTACACGGGACTTCGGAATCGCGTTCATGTCAGCTACTCAAATATGTAACTGGTTCAAAAATTGATTGAATATTCAATGAAATATCGCCAATTTTCTGGTTTCGTGCACGTTAAAGATTTGACGTCACTAATAAAATTTTAATATTAATTACAGATAGAGTCCATGCTCAAACAGCGTCACGACTTTTATCACAGGTACAATATTCGATACTACTGTACGATACTACTGCAACTGCTTAACAAATTGGACTTTCTTATAAACAGCGCGAGCCGTCGATTTCTATCCAGATGATTACCGGTATAAGATAATTTTGACAAAGAAGCAACAATATTAATTCAAAGACTAATTATTACACACAGCTATCAACTATTTCTGTTACAGGGTCACTATACCCATATTTTGGATAGAAGAAAACACTCATAGTTGAAATAATTTTAGTTCAAATATCATCACTGATAAAAGCACTCTTGAATTGGCTCTACACGTTGACAAAACGTACAGATTGTATCCCCTCTTATGTTTCGCGTAACAATGAAAGGTGCCGTGTTCAATTTTCGATGCCTTTGTTCTGCTACTCCTGAAATTTGGAACTGTTGTACAATGGTTTTATATATAACACTACTGATAGGCCTCTCTGTAGAAGAAGTTCCAAAAAAATATTATGTTGACTTTTCGAGAAATAGACCTCTAAAAATGCTCCAAATCGTAAAAATACGACGTTTCAAAAAATGATACAGTGGTTTCACACAACAGAGTACCCATTTATCTCTCGATTGAGAAAGTTTTAAAAAAATCGTTGGGGGCGTTTCCGAGAAACATGCGTCTAAAGATGCTCGAAATCGCAAAATACCTTACTTTTCAAGGTCATATAACTTTTTTAGTTTTTGATAGAAACTTGTCGCTGAAGTACCATCTGATAGA